CCCCAAAACCCCAAAACCCCAAAACCCCGATAGTGCAATTTTAATCTAAAATTCATACAACTTCCAATTAATAAATCAATAAAATCTATTAATATCTACTTAATCACTTCAATGAAATTTAATACTCTTAGAATTCATTTAAATTTCTTTATATAATCAGCATCATAGGCAACAGCATCAAAATCATAAAACATGTCTTGAACTCTTTCTCTTTTTAAATCCATTTAGCTCGAAACGGTTTCACTTATAAGCGAATGAGGATTGTTGTTTGTTGACAGTAATTTATCAAAGTATTTTTCATATACTGATGGCAACTCTTTTTCTTTCATCTCATTTTCCAATTTAATGGTAGACTACTTTTCCTAATTTTTCTAATTTTGAGATTTAAAGAAATTATTATAAGGTTCAAAGTTTTTAATCGATATTTTGGATTGTTTAATATCCTAGGGCATCTTCTATCTTTCATCGAAATTATATGAATGACTTTCAATTTCATTGCTATAATCTAGCTGGCTGGTTAGACTAGTAGCAGAATTTAACTTATTCTAAACTTGGTAGTTGTTAATTGCTTTAGTTTCAGGAATTTTATATTTCTTTAACTATAAAAGTTTTGTTTAAAGTATGGGATAATTACCTCTTTGGTTTTAGTTTTTCTGCTGCACTTTTAAAATTACTTTCTTAGATTTAATATAAGATTCTTAACTGTTCCGAACAAAATATAGATTGTATTGACCAAAATCTGGCACAAGGCAATACCATTTAAAGACCATCCCAAATCATACTTGAGATAAGGATCATCAGTAAAATCTGAGAATACAATGATATGATAGATACAAATAACTATACATATCTCATTAAATATTTCTAATATATTTTAGCCTTTGGTCTCAAATGGTTTAACAAGAATTAGGTAGTATAAATTGATTAAACTTGAAATCATCAATAGTTGAATCTACTAGACTGGGTAGTCGTAGATAAGTACTAATATGATTGCAGTATAAATTCTTCTTCCCAAGAAAATACTTTGATAATTTAAGGCCAATTTACTGCCCATCTTCAATTCTTCAAATAAAGCTTGAAACTTTACTAAATTATTCATATTTTTTCCTTTATGCTCCTCTTTTATTTTCCTTGTTAGGTAAAGAACATTGAAATTTAGAACAGAGACTATTGCTATCAGCATTAAAAATGAAAAAATAAGTGAGACTACATCTGCACTATTGGTAGATTAAGGCTAAATCAAATTATTCTATTTATTTTTACATAGTGAAAATCAAGAAGAATACATATTGAGAACTACAATGATCCTTCTAGTATCAATCTAATGATTAATCCGTAGAATAAGACCTACTTAATTTTTTCAAAAAATTTAAAATTCCTTTAAAAGTTCATTAAGCTGAGAGTATC